AAGGGAGTTACCCAGAAATCCAGAAACCAGACTGTCATTAGGCAGACATAAGAACAGCTGCTTGGAAAAGCATAACCTCCAGTAGCCTGCTTTGGCCCAGAAGTGTGCTTTAATGAGGACAAGGCTTCTATATATTTCTTAAAGCATCCCAATTATAGCCAAAGACATGCAGAGGGAAAGGAGTAGGAGAGAAAGGGGACTGGAATTCGCATCCTATGACTACTGTGTAAAGTCGAAGAGCCGTGACGAGAGGGAGGGCGAAGCAAGTTTGCTATAGTCGCTGCGTTTCAAAGAGGCAGCAAAACACCAGCATGACAACGTTACTGCCACTATCCTGGCACCTAGTCCGATGTGGGTGGAAAAAGGACTTGGCAAGCCACCGGAGTATTTCTGATCTCAAAGCCATTTATACTCAAGCAAAACACATTTGTGGGCAGATGAGCTGTACGGCTGTAGAATTAACCAACCAATATGACACCGTTTGCTTTGGGCTCAATCAAAATGAGATGTTGGCGGGTTAAACTATGATGAACTGCAAGTCCTTAAAATAATTTTGAAAGATGTGTTGACTCCCTCACAACTGACTGAATCTTGTTAACTTCAGTTGTTTGACTTTTTTTGCCCTGTATGTTTTTGTTCCTCTTTCACTGTGCAAAACAGACTTTCTCTTCCTGTTCTCTCTCTCTCTCTCTCTCTCTCTCTCTGTGTGTGTGTGTGTGTGTAATGGAGGGGAAATGTGTCTGTTTCATTTTTTTCCTCTAATTTGTATATTTTTATAGCTGAAGTTCTTTCCCTCCGGGGAAATGTGTCTGTTTCATTTTTTTCCCCCTGTAATTTGAATATTTTTATAGCTGAAGTTCTTTCCCTCCATATATATATATATATATAAAATCAGGGCAGGACAAGAAGTCTTACCTATCTTATGCATTTTATACATGAACCTCTTTCTCTGTACATATTAGGAAGTGTGTGTGTCTGGAATAAACCCAGGTTGATCAGCCATATCTATTTACTTACATCCATGTACATTTTTATAAACCAGACAATAACTTCAAATAAAAAACAATACCAATCTTTTAAGGTCAAGTCACTTGTTAAGATAGATGCACCATATGCCGTGTATATGAACCTTTTGTTTTTGGTGAAATGTTTAAGAACAAGTCTGGATACAGCTTGAAAAACACAGGAAGCACTTGAGAGATCCCATTTTTTTCCCTACCTCTGAATTGGAGGTAATTTTTATTAGAGAACTTGTATAGACCCATCTTAACAACAAACAAAATTGTGAAAAGCACATTTTGGCTCTGTTAACAGCGTTTGACCATATAGGTTTAACTAGTTCTGAATTGACTAATAGACAGAAAATAGGATTTCTCACAGCATTGCTAGGGGAAGGTTTTGATGCTTTTGTATCTATTTTGCATAGCAAACAGCTAAGTTTCCAAGGTGTTTGCACTGTCTGAGGGAAGAGTACGTAGACCAAATGGGTTCCCATGATACCTTGATGAAAATGCATTGTGAAAATGGGCAATGGACAGTAATGAAATATGGTGAAATTAATTTCCAAGCAGTTAAACTGTCCATAAACTGAGTATTTTAGATGAACAGCAAGAGATTGACGCAGTGCAAGCTCAGAGCGCAGATGGCAACAGTATGGAGCTGTGACATCGTCACTTTGCGCACAGAGATGCAAACGCAATTCTGGATCTGCAAAACCAAAAAACTTGCTACATATATCAGAATAAATCCATATGATGCAACTGTATAGATCCAGGTTCGTAAGACTGTTAGGTCCTCATTCCAGCACCAGGGTGCTGGATCTGATACACAGTGACTTGATTAGACCAAAGTCCCAGCGCTGGGACATAACATAGTCTGATGTTTGTGGATGCTATTTTGAGGTTCTGTGTAACCCATTTGCCGAAGGAGAAGAGTGAGATACATGATATGCTGAAGTATGTGGCCATGGTGATCAACCCCAGACAGATAATGGCGATGATTACCTTTCACACTACACACACATTTTCCGAGAGAAACAAGGCATTTTGCACAAGGGAAATCTTACACACTCCTCAGCAGAATGAAATAGCAGAAAGAAAGCTGAGCTATCTTTTGGAGATGACAAGATGCATGCTTGCAGATACAAAGTTGCCCAACTAATTTTGAGGTGATGCAATTATGACAGCAACGTATCTCCAGAACAAACTGCCAACCAAAGGCACCACAAAAAGATCATTTAGCTATAGCATGACAGAATACGAAGCACAGAACATTTTTGTACCAAAACAGAAAAGGCAGACCCCGGACTCTAGAACTGAACAGACTATTTTGTTTGGCTGTGCTCCAGGCAGCAAAGGCTGTAAACGGATAAACTTAAAAACAGGTGAAATCAGCATAACACATGTGATTCATTTCAATTAACAAAAGAAAGTTGAAAAAAGAGGAACAGAAGAATGTTGGAACTGGCCTAGATGAAGCTGCGCCAATCCTTCCACAATCTGAGCCAGATATGAAGCAGGAAAGCGATGACACACAAACTGAAAGTAGTACACCGAGAGAAGGGGACACAGATGTTGAGGGACCTATGCTACCAGATGCTCCAGAACCAGCCATCAGATGCTCATTGCAACTCAGAGAAGATGCTTCTGCAACAAGGCTTCAGGCAGGGGTACTTGGACTACAATTCCCAGAAGCCTTCACCACCAGGTGTGCTGGCCAGGGTTTCTGGGAATTGCAGTCCAAAAAATATCTGGCTTACCCAAGATTGGGGATCCCTGATTTATGGTGATGGTCCTATGTCGTAGGCTGGTCACAGACAGCTTTTTCTTCCACAGCATCTGAATTCATTGCTGCAGTTAAAGCATGCAGGGAACTGCTATGCCTGAAGAAGTTGCTGAATGACTTTGGGATGAATTAAGTGATGACAATCCAGGCACTGGAAGACAACTAGAGTTGCGTCAAACGACTATCAAAGTGAGAAAATGAATGCACACACCAAACACAATGGCATGAGATACTGCTGAGTTTGCAACCTGACTGAGAAAGGTGTCGCTGAGATACTACGGCCAGCTGATCAAGCCTGATTCCAGAAGTTGCACAGCCACCTTAAAGACGATGGCTACATGTGAGTTTGAGAAAGGGTGATGGGGTTTAATTTGCAACCTCACATGCTGCCTGCAGTTTATTTGACCAGGAGCGACTTTTCCAGGATGGCGTGATTATCTGTCCATCACTAATCAACTGATCTTTACAACTTCAAATTCAAAGAGAGCCCTGCCTCTCTTAGGAACGACTTTTCTGGGATGGCGTGATTATCTGTCCATCCCTAATCAACTGATCTTTACAACCTCGAATTCAAAGAGAGCTCTGCTGAGCTTCCTTTCCCTCTCTTTAGTTTGTTGTTTGTTTGCTGTTGATTTGTTCGTGTTTTTTTTTTGCTAAGTATGTGTGTAGTAAAGAAAGCAGCATACACAAATCTGTAACTTCAAGTGCAAGTAAGTAAAGATTTTTTTATTCTTTCTCCTACCAATGTCTTAGTGTGAGTTTGAGACTTTAAAAACTAGTTAATGAGAAAGGGCTGGACTCTGGAGAACTTGTAGCTATTCTCCTCTGTACGTATTTCTATTGTGCAGCAAAAAGGAAATTTATTTCTTTACTTCTGTTGTGCAGCAAAAAGGAATTTTACCAGAAATTCAAAACTCTGCAACATTTTCAATACAGTAATCCTTTATTCTTCTTAGCTTTTAATACTGTTTATTTGTTAAATACTATAAGCCACCATAGGTCCTTTTGTTGAGAAAGGTGGGGTATAAATATTATAGATAGATAGATAGATAGATAGATAGATAGATAGATAGATAGATAGATAGATAGATAGATAGATAGATAGATAGATAGATAGATAGATAGATAGATAGCGTGACACAAATGGGACCAGCCCAAGATATTTTGCTGCTTGGGGCAGGACAGCAAATAAACATCCGTTCAAAGCACATCATATCCTCAGCAAGTCACATTATTTTGGCACCAGAGGCTGAAAATCTCAGAACCGTCAATTCCTCCCTCCTAGTAGTAAATATATATATATAATAAATCAAACTACGAACATTAGGCTGCCCTTTCATGACATCCCAAATCTGTTGAGTGTCAACTCCCAGAAATCCTCAGCCAGTATTGGCCACTTATTCAGTTGCATGACTGTTGTAACTCATCCTTACTCATTATAATTCCATTTCCTTTGTTTACATATTTGCTTTACTAGTTATATTTCTTATATGGCTCATAAAATAGTATTTTTTTCTGACACTATAAATTTCATTTTAGAATAACAACAGTAGCATAGAAAAATCGCATCAAAGCAATACAACTCAACCCAGCATAAATGCTAGCCATATATATGTCATGGTATTAAAACAAAACAAAAAAACAAAACAAAACAAAACAAAAAAACACCAAAGGTACCAGAGAAAGAAACGGTACTGCACAGACTAAAATACTAGACTTTCAATGCTGAAAAGGCTAAACTATTTTTAAAGCCTGAGAGAATGGGAAAAAAATTAACCTTAGATAAAATTAGCATAGATAAAGGTAAAGGTTCCCCTTGACATTTAGTCTACTCGTGTCTGACTCTAGGGTGCAGTGCTCATCCCCGTTTCCAAGACATAGAGCCAGCGTTTGTCCATAGACAGTTTCCGTGGTCATGTAGTCAATGCGGCTAGACACAAAACACCATTACCCTCCCACTGTGGTGGGACTTATTTATCTATTTGCATTTTTACATGCTTTCGAACTGCTAGGTTGGCAGGAGCTGGGACAAGCGACGGGCGCTCACTCCGCTACATGGATTTGAACTGCTGATCTTTTGACCTTGCAGCCCAGAGGCTTTGTGGTTTAACCCTCAGCACCACCCACACCCCTAAAAGAGAGTATACTCAGTAGCAATTTCATTCAGTCACCCTGACAGGCGTATAGCTAAAAAGGAGAGTGAAGGGTCTGCTTACTTTCCCTGAGGTAACTGAGGTGAGACAGTAGGACTTCTGTGTTGTAGAGGGAAGTGGTCCGGAGGAAATCCTCCTTGTTCATCTTACACAGTTCTTTGCCGTCCATGTTCTGGAAGAGGTTGGTATCAATCTCCATTAAACCATATTCTTTGATGGCCCACTCCAGCCACTGGCGGACATGTTCCTGGGTCCATAATGTGGGATCTATCAAGAGAAAGGTAAGATTAGGGGAGGGGGGTTGATCAATAAACAACACTTTACCAAGGAATTTGCTTTAGAAAAGCAATAACATTTTTTTAAAAAAATCTTTCTGCAGTTCCACAGGGTGCAACATCCCAAGTGATCCAGGCAGATAATATGTTAATTAATCTGCACACATCAGCCTTATCCTGGTTCACCAAAAGCTTGTCTGGATTTTATAAAGTGTTTCTAGGATGGGAGTGTGCATTGAGGATGTGGGCCAAATCTGGTCCTCCTGAGGTATCAATCCTGCCTTTTGACCTTCCTTAGAAGGCCATAGCCCATCTGTATCCATTTGGTGAATTCTCAGCTTTAGCACAGTTTTTTTTCCCATTCCAAGAAATGTCTTGTTCGTGGCTTAATTATTGACAAGTATGAAAATAACAAGTGAAAATACATTGGTCCAGCCATGAACAGGTTTGCAAGTGAATGGGATTTGTCAAAATGCAGCAAAGAATTTGTACCCGTAACTTTCCTCTACATCAGTGGTGTCGAACTGTGGCCCTCCAGATGTTCTTGGACTTCAACTCCCAGAAGCCTTCACCACCACCTCTGCTGGCCAGGATTTCTGGGAGTTGAAGGCTAAGAACATCTGGAGGGCCACAGTTTGACATCACTGCTCTACATGTTCAAGGTTTTCAGCAAAGACCAGTCAATGTCTTCCAGGTTATTCTTTACCTTGCAGATGCAAAAGAGCCATGCTGTTCTGGCACTATCTCTAGCTCCTTTCCTAGTGGAGGCTTAGAACAACCCCGGGTTCAGTCTCTCTTCTTGTATGAACCCTTGTCACCTTGAGAACTCTGGATGGAGGGAGGGAGGGAGGGTGGGTGGATGGATGGATGGATGGATGGATGGTAGTCTCACTTCTTGTATGAACCCTTGTCACCCTGAGAACTCTGCCTGGATGGATGGATGGATGGATGGATTCTTCCCTCCCCCCTTATCCCACCTCAGTCTTTAACATAAGAGTTAGTAATCAGGGCTGGATCAAACAATTTTGCCACCTGAGGCAAAAGACAACATCGTGTCCCTCTCTCCACATACCATGCAGAAGCCAGCTGCTCATCCTGGACTAACACTGTTAAAGGAGGAATATCTGCCCAATGCTCATGAAGCATCAGGCTGGGTTAGGGGACCCAGGGTGCAGCAAAGCAGAAGAGTCATGGGTTGCAGGAGTAGCAGTCAGAAGGCTCCCACCACTTCTTCTCAAAACCTGCCACCTGAGGCATAGTCCTCATCCTAACTAAAGATAGGCCCAACTCTGCCTGATCAACCAATGTACATTATAGATGTGTGATAAAACTACAGCCAAGTAAAGGATGCAGAAAGCTGTGAAAACCTGAACAGCACAGTACCTATGTGAACTATTACTCCTGTGATTATTACTGAGACTTCAGTTACGAAGACAATAGAGATGAGTCCAAAGCAATGATTTCCCAACAGCCAATGTCTGATGGAGCCAAGAGGTTACAAACTTGCTTCTGTCACCCTCTCTATGGACCCTAACCTGGGCGAGGGAGCTGCTTCTAGACTTGCTGGTGACTTTCACAAGATCGGCAAAGGTTGGCCAACTGTTTGTTTAAACAAAGGTTAAATAGCTGCTTCAACCATCCAAGTTGTTCAAAAATAGCAAAACTGAAAAGAAATGTTCTGCCTAATTTAGGCTGCGGTCACTCCAGCAAAATGTTTCTGAGTTACTCCTCATGAATGTCAACCCTTTTTTGGGGGGGTGGGTTCAGACGATGCACAGCGACTATTGAATCTTTTGGTCTGCCTCTGTGCTATCTCCACATCAAATTCCACCCACTAGGAGGCTTCTAATTTTTTGTTGTTGTGGTTTCCGTCACACAATTACAGTGGTGTCCTGTGTGCACGGCTGTACTGATATTTTTTTCTGGCAAGTCGCCTTGCATTGCTTCTGTAGGCGATGCCATTTGCCTGGACGTCCCTTTAATTTTTTAAAAAATATATATTAGTGAGCGGAGAAACGCATGTCATCAGTCACTGCACTTCACTTATTTGTGGACCTTTCCACCAGGAGGTGTTCCTTCCCCCTGAGCCTTTTCCTATTTTCCTCTTGGGGACCTGATGGTAGAGCTGCAACGAAAACAAAGCCGAACTATGAGTTTCTCTGCTGCAAGATGCAGCAGAGAAACTTGTACCCATGAAGGAAATGTTGCTGAAACATCAATGTAATAAAATTTATTTTTTTTTAAAAGGAAAAAGGAACCTCAGAGACATAAACAGCCAAGAGGGAAATATTCTGGTACTGAAGTTTAGCTGGTCATTATCACATCAAATTTACAGAAATGTTTCAGTAATTCAAAAACATATCAGAACATATACCCTGGAATATATGCCACATGACTGAAATCCATTATTGCTCAGGGAGTAAAAGATGCAAGAAAAAAGGGGGATATTTTGCCGGTGTGCCCATGGCCTTAGAACAGGCTGTAGAAAAAAGGAGCCCCAGAGACATAGACAACCCAGAGAGAAATATTCCAGTACTGAAATTTAGCCAGTCATATCATATCAAATTTAGGGAAATGCTGTGGTAACTCAAAAACATGTCAGAACACACACTCTGGGATATATGTCATGTGACCACAACACGCGACTGCTCGGGGCGTAAAAGACGAGAGAAAACAGGGAGACATTTTCCTGGTGTGACACATTCTTAGGCTGCTGAAATGAAGCTGTCATGGGATCGGCAGGAGTAGACTTTTGGGTGCAACAGATAGAGCTTGAAAGACTAAAATTTTGAGCTATAGAAGTGGCTATGCTGGCTGGGACATTTGCAGTCCAAAAAAATAATTTCTCCAAATGTTGGGATCGTTCAGTTCTGGTCTGGCACTGTAAATAAATTCCTAGGCACAGAATATACCCAAACATGCTCTGTTTGTTAACTGTAGATACATGCCTCCATTTAGTCCTGCTTGATAGATCTTGAGTTCAGCCTGGATTACACTGATCCTCTCACAGCCCTCTTTCCAACTTCTCTTTTCTAAAGAGTAACTCTATTCTTCGTGCTTACACTTATTATTGGTAGCGCTCTTGTTGGCCTCTGGAAGCAACACAGCGACAACCAGGCTATCCAAACCATTTGGCCGCGCATTTGGCCCATTACAACGTTTGTACAGATGGTTATTAAACATTTTGGAGCGATGTTTATTGCTGTGCTCCAGAAAGTAGTAAATTCTATGAAAATGACCTCTCCTCGCTCAGACACGTTTGCTTTATATGTCTGAGTCATATTTCCAGACTCGACTGACAAAAACAAACTTTTAAACTCCCGCCCACTCGCCCTCTGCTTGCAATGCGAGTCCTGCAGAGTCAACACAGATGGTGAAAGGCTGAGACACTGGATGTGGTTCATGATTGCGTGTCACTGTCCACTGCCAATTTAGATCCATATGGAGATTATTCTTCTCCCCCATCTCTATTGGTGGTGATCTGAAGAACTAAACAGGGCACTCCTGTATTTTTCTTGCCCAGGCTGGCAGGATATATGGTCAGAGTATAGAAAAGTTACTTTGTGATCCTTGAATTGTACAAGTAGTCTTCCAGGGTGGGAACTCTGATGCAAAGAGTAACTTTTTCAAGCTCTGTGCAGGAGAACAGCTATTGCGCGAATCCTGGTCAAAGCATAAATGAAGTTGCAACTTTCAGTTTGTTCTTCCCTGGTAAACAAGGCACGCCTGCAGTGATTCTTGCGAATGTTTGTGTGCCCGCACCAAGTCAGCATGCGTGCGAGCCTCTTAGAATTCTGGCAAGGGCACTTTGTTTACCAGGGTGAAATGGACACAAAGTTAGGGTCTGGCTTACACTATGAACAGGATCTCAACCTATGTTATGCTTACGTTATGTGAGCATTGTCAGGCATTCAGGTGGCAAGAACAGAACGTTGGCTAGAAAGCGGCCTTACTATTAGCTCCCTTAGTCTGCTATTGTCTATGCCAGTGGTTCCCAACTTTGATCCCCAGATGCTCTTGGATTACAATTCCCAGAAATCCCACACAGCACAACTAGCAATGAAGACTTCTGGGAGTTTTAGTCCAAGAAGATCTGGAGACCCGTCTGGGGACTACAGTACTTCTCTGTGTTATGGACAAAGCCTGCAATTCTTTCTGCAAAGCCTAAGCTCCACTGGTTGTTGTGGGTTTTTCGGGCTCTTTGTCCGTGATCTGTAGGTTGTTCTTCCTAACGTTTCACCAGTCTCTGTGGCCGGCATCTCCAGAGGACAGCACTCTGCGCTCTGGTGCAGTTGGCTTGGGAGTGCAGTATTTATGGCTGTGAGATAGGCTTTGGTCTTTTTCTTTAGATGGGTAATTAGTGTGTCTTGTTGTGGGTGTATTGTTGTGCTAAGGAGAAGAGATTATCTGTCACTGTGGTTGATTGGTGTCATTAGCTGGTCTTTTGTATGTAGTGATCCCTTGTCCTTGTGGCTGGGTAGAGTTCGTTGACCTTTTGCACTCTGTCTTTTTGAGAGCTGGGAACCAAGTTTTGTGCAGCTTCACACTTTCCTCTTTTTTGTTGAAGTTCTGCTGGTGCTTGTGGATTTCAAAGCTCCACTGTTAAATGATGTTCGTCCTCCATTGTCTAAGTTATGCCATTCTCCAATGATTTATTTGAGAGATTCAGAGTAAGCACAGTGGACGTGCCATATTAGTGGCACTAAGTTATGGTTCACCACAAGAATGGGAAAAATGCTCCTTGCAGGGATATGGATCCCAGATTCCTCCTGGCCACTCCTCCACCTCAAAAAGTTCCCATCAAATCCACACAGCACACCCTTGTTCTGTATGGAGCTGTCATTTGCAATAAAAATACAATTCTGCTCGTCCAAGGTCAGTTCTAGGCTTGAAATGGCCTTTTGAAAAACAAAGACAGGAAGCGGAAGACTTTAAATACATGCAGAATACGCTGAATTTGGGAAACCAGTGCATACCAAATAATATTCAATGATAATTCTTCCCTGTTTTTTGTAATATTATTTTACTATACATTTCATGCAAATAAGTGACACGAATCTTGCAGCCTCTTGCAGATAGTGATCAACCAAGGTGGGGGGGGAAGGGGGACCTCTTTTCTCTTTGCGATTTTTTAGTAAAAGTTCTGCCCTTCCAAGAAATCTCATGGGAAATCTTGTGGGATTTCCGGAATGCTTCAAGGTCATTCCCCCACCCCACCTCCCAGGAACATCAAATTTCACAGAATTTTTCCAATTCGTGTGCAAAACAGCATATCTTTCCTGTATCAAACTGCCCAGAAGGCGAATGAGAGTGTTGCCAGGATTTTGCAGGTACTTGTGCAAAATTGGAGGAGGGGAAAGGCGGAATGGGATTAAAAACAAAACAAAACAAAATGAAAAACAGGGGAATAAGTTCCCAGAAAACCAAGATACTGGGAAATTGTTATTTGTTTTTAAAACTACTTTCTCTGTCCTTAATGAAAATAGACACGTTCTAGGAAAGTCTGCTGTTCCCCCACCCTTTTGAGGATGATAACATGAAGCTTAAAATACTGTTTTCACAGAACCACCTATCAGTTTATCTGTATCTATATCCTGTGCTACTTTCCTCATGACTGATAGATAACTAAAACTGCAAGGGAGTATATTTAGCAAAAAGAAAGAGAGAGAGAGAAAGAGCCAAAACATATTCTGTACCACACTTCATTCTCCTTTCGTGTTTTCCCAGTTTCTGCCTTTTGACATTTTTATAGTTGTAATTAATCTGCTGCATTTCCCCGGTCTATGCTTATTGAAATTTTGGTGGGTGGAAGGAAAGAATGGTTTAGGGGCAAAGAGATAATAATATTATGAATATAATCTAACAACAGAAGTGTGTCTGAAGTTCTTAAAATAATCAAGACTAGAAGCCCTTTTTTAAATAAAGGGTACACTTCTTATGAAGCAAAGCAAACTATGTTCCAGCTCTGCTTTTATACTTTCCAACATTTAACAAACAAACAAACAAACAAACAAACAAACAAGCTCACTATTTGGACACTCCTTTCTCACCTCTTACATTCTTAATATTAGGCATGGGATTTTTGGATTTTTTTGGACTACATATCCCATAATGCCCCATTCTAGGAGTTGCATCAGGCAAAGCCACACCTACAGACATCTAAATGTGGCTCGCCTGGAGAAAAGGCCTTAACTGGGGATGCAAGTCCTAGCCTCTACCCTAGTTAACTGTTCAAAAAGGAACCTCACCAATGAGGCTGTTTCCCTTCTGTTTGGGAAGCTAGGATGGGGCGGGGCCTATGCTAGGCCTTGAAACTTTCCCCGCTAGGCCTTTTCTTTGGCTGAGCCACATGAAGGTATCTATGGGTTTGGGTCTCTCTAGAATGGGAATGTATGGGATTTGTAGTCCAACTAAAATATCTGAATATGCAATGTCTGCTTGATACACCATGAACTCATGCATCTTGGAAGTCTTTACCAACCTGAAACGGAATGCTCTTAATAACACTCCACTTGTTAAAATCAATTACAATGTCCTGGTGTTGCAACCTGATTCCTTGATGAGCAAGTTTGCCTGGGGCCTGAGAGGAAATTTGGATACAATCTGAAAATAGATCTCACTATGGTTTTTCCTGTAGTGATGTATGGAAGTGAGAGCTGGACCATAAAGAAGGCTGTCCGCCGAAGAATTGATGCTTTTGAACTGTGGTGCTGGGGGAGGCTCCTGAGAGTCCCCTCAACTGTAAGGAGAACAAACCTATCCGTTCTGAAGGAAATCAACCCTGAGTGCTCACTGGAAGGACAGATCCTGAAGCTGAGGCTCCAATACTTTGGCCATCTTATGAGCAAAGAAGACTCCCTGGAAAAGACCCTGATGTTGGGAAAGTGTGAAGGCAAAGGAGAAGGGGATGACAGAGGACGAGATGGCTGGACAGCGTCATCGAAGTGACCAACATGAATTCGACACAACTCCGGGAGGCAGCGAAAAACTGGAGGGCCTGGTGTGCTCTGGTCCATGGGGTCACGAAGAGTCGGACACAACTAAACAACAACAAAAAAGCTTCAACTGTGGCATTTACCTGCTGGAACAATCACTCTCCTCTCATTGGTCGTCATGTTGGGGGGAGGAGGACCATTCTTCTCGTCCATGTAGGTTCCGTAATTCAAGGGGTTGGATTCGGTTCCGGCACCGACCATTTTGTTGCATTTGCTCACACTGCAGTCCACTGGGGACTCCCTATAAAGTAGACAAAGATATTAAGTCAGTATTGTCCAATATTACCCTCTGTGCCCTCAAACAGGGACATACCCTCTAAGAACTTGTCAAATGATGATGAAGCAAAATTTGTGCACCTACATTAAATAAAACAAGTTGCTTTTCCACTGTTTTTTCAAAAAAGAAAGCAAAGTATCTTGACATGCTGAAGGAATGACGACATGTTTGAGGACTGAGTCCAGAGCAGTGTTTTTCTCCCAAATACTATGCTTTCTGTCCTGTCCTCAAATATTGTAATGTAACATAGCCTTTTCACATTACTAAAGTATCCTAATCATAGGGATGTTGGCAAGACTTGGGTCTGACTCCCAAGTCTGAGTCTTTGGCACCAATTCCCAAGTCCAAGTCTCTATTAAAAACAACCTTTTTCCCCCATTAAAAGGGTATCTGAGTCATGAGACATTTAAAGAAAGCAAGTTGTGTCCAAGTCAAGTTGGCGGTGCGACTTAAGTCCAACTTGAAAGTGAGTCATTTAAAGAAAGCAAGTTGAGTCCAAGTCGAGTTGGCAGTGCGACTTAAGTCCAACTTGAAAGTGAGTCCCATGACTCAAGTCCCCATCCCTGCCTAATGATAATAACAAGAGGAAGCATCATGGTAACATGTTTTAGTCCCCATCCCTGCCTATAATAATAATAGCAAGAGGAAGCATCATGGTAACATGTTTTATGATTAGGACCTTCATCATGCCATTATTGTAATCAGCACCTGCAAAGGCTAAGGCAGGTGGTCCCCAACCTTGGGCCTCCAGAGATTGTAATCAGCACCTGCAAAGGCTGCAACAAAACATTATGATGGTCTAAGGCAGTGGTGTCCAACCTTGGGCCTCCAGATGTTCTTGGACTTCAACTCCCAGAAATCCTGGCCAGCAGAGGTGGTGGTGAAGACTTCTGGGAGCTGTAGTCTAAGAACATCTGGAGGACCAAGGTTGGACACCACTGGTCTAAGGCTACTCCTATGTTCCAACCATGCCTTTCTCTGGGATACAGCATCCAAGAGTTTTACATTTTCTAGCCCTACGAATGATCCTTGATGTTCTCTGGCCACTGAACATGATTCGCCCCAGAAATGAGCGCTCCTGGTCTTTCACCAAAGGACGATCCTTGGACACACCTCCAAATAGAGGCTGGTCCGATGTAAAGTACGTCCTATCTGTTAGCTTGCACTTGGAGTCCTTCCACACCCAGGCCAAATGCAAGAATGAGCATGACAACAGCACATTTCCACAGTGATGGTCAAGGGTGGGTCATGCAAAATCCCCCCACATGTTCTTTCACTGTATGGGCAGTGTTGTCTGATGCAACCATTGGCTAGAAAGAAAAAAGGAGCCAACCAAAGATCTTTAAAAGAAGCAACCCCATTCAGTGGGAAGGGAAGATGATGACTGTGTGTTAGATTCCCATCTGGTGAACAAAGCTGAAGGATTTTCCAATTGGGAACATTAAATTTGTTTGTTAAGGCACAGAAGCAGAATTACTCTAGCGTAGTTATCATGGCTGGGAGATAAATGTCCTGCTGAGATATTCCGAGGCAGATGGTAATTTTTTCCTCATGTCCTTTTGGGGAGAAACATTGCTTAGAAATGGAAATAAGATGTATAACTTACACATGTTCAAATTTAAGGTTGTACTGTTTTGCCTACTGTTTTTCCAGGCATGGAACCAAAGTCGGTCTTCCGAGAGGCAGATTGCTGAAGTTTTAATGCCCCCATGGCAATCAAAGAAAAGTTTGAGGAACTGCAGGCCAGTCCAGGCAGCCTTGCAGAGTGGGAGAAGGGGAAGAGGAGAGAGGCACTGAATATTTCTTATTGGCAGCAGAAATTCTCAGTGTCAGGTGTTAAAAGCTGTGAGTATCTGGAGTACAAAATGTTTGGCGTTTTGCAGGAGTTCTACTCCAGAGAATTGCAGCCTTTTCCAAAGCACTGCTTAGATTGCCAGTAGACCTATAAGATCAACAAGACCAGGGAGCAGTGGTGGCTGCCAGGTGAAACTTATGCTTCAAAATGCTTGAGATAAGGGCAAGAGTTGAAAGGGAGACATCCCCCCCCCCCGCTTACAGGTTTTAGTTTGCTACCACCAAGATTATGCAACAAGAAGCTCTGTGAGTCAAATGTTAGTGCTCCATACCCTGCTATGCTTGGTGGGCCCCCAATGCTGTTGTGTCACAAAGCCTAAAATGAGTGGAAGGAACCAGAAGAGGACCCAGTGAGTTCATCCATTTCTGCCTTATGGAAGAATACACACATAGGGACCTCCATACTGAACCAAAGATTTCTGGTGCTGGCTGGGAGGGAGTGGGTGGGGATGGATGAGCAGGTTTTACCACCACTTCAGGTACAAAAATCAAACTCCTCCTTCAGTTCAGTTTTCAACACCATTTGGCTCCCATGTGGAGACCTGGAATCAACTGTTGGAGACTTCCACCAATCTTACAAGAGCTTAATATGAAGTGCTCTCAATGGGCAATCATTTATGTGATAGTATTCTCTGTTTGGTGTCCAGTCCAAGTCCAGTTTAAGGCTAAACAACTGTCAAGGACTTAAAGATGTCCATCTACAAGTAGCAGTTGTGTGGTGTGCCATATTGTATTTCTCTTTTACTATTTCTAACTGTGCAGCCTAATGACGGGAGTAAGCCTGCAAAACTGTAAGCCACCAAAGTCGTTCCTTTGTGAAGAGAGAGAGCAGAAGAATGAAAGACTGAAGACTTTTCCAGGACAATGATCAACTAATCCTGCCCTTTTGCCCATAATACGAGAAGGAGATAGGATCTGGTGCCCTGGGTAAAATATCTGTACATTGCATGCATTTTTGGACCTTCATGCTTTATAATTTCCAGCATACACTGAAAACATCTTTGATGTATGTTGAAAACTGCGACACACGCAACCCCTCCCCTTGCCACACCTTTTACATGAGTGGCATTCATCTGCCAAGTCTGTAACTCATGTTAGATCTGCTCAAGAACCAAGGGAGAAATGTTTAAGAGGTCATTAGCACCTTATAAACCCGGGCAGTTGTGGAACATGAGAACCCAACACAAACATTGCTGTCTGACAAAACACGCAGAGGGAGGCCAACGTGCCTGGTGAGCCATGAAAAGTGCACAGAGCTAGTATTGTGAGTGAAGTCCTCTGCACCCTTGCCCTTTGTCAAAGGAAGAAGTCTCCTAAAGCAGCCACTGGAACACCGGAAGCTGGCTTACATCTAGTAAGACTCTCAGTCCACTTGGCTTGGGAAATCTCAGCTTCTGGGGTTTTACTTGACCCTGCTGGATTCCCCATCCACCTTTCCCCAAATGACTTTGCCACCAACCCTGTGACATCATCTTGGATGATGAATGCTAAATTCTGTTAAATCCCCCTCCCATTCTAAAATGTGGAAAGCTTCTCCTGTGCTTAATTATGAGCAATACGGGTTGTCATCTAAACTATGCTGGTATTTTTGATTCAACACTTTCCCATTTGGTCCTCACTTCCTGCTGGACAGTGGCCTTCTCCATGGAAAGCACAGGCTCTACCATAGACTGACAGCTCTCTGTGTGTTGGAGAATGCTATTTTGCTCCAGCAGTGGTGGAAGGGATATTCTCTCCCAGTTATGCCACACTGCCCCTGTCTCTGCTTCTCAGAAAAAGTTAGAGGGGAAAAAAAGAACCACAGTTTCATTTTAGGGAAACACTGGTTAGTCTTAACTACCATCAGTCCTGGTGCTGAGTAACTATGGTTAGAAGGTAGGGTAAATGTTGCTCCAGAAGAACAGTAGATGCAGACTTTGCAGAATATTCTATTCCATTATATACAGCTTGATAAATCTCCACAGCTTCTGTTCCAGATTTGGGGCTTCAGGAAATGCAAACTATTTTATTATAGGTGGGGGAAAAATAGAGAGAAAAAGTCAAAAAAATATGATGGCACTTTTAAAGACTAACTTTTATATCTTTTAATCTTTTGGCATTAATATAAGCCATGTTACATCTCTTTCTCTTATGTCTAATGAAGTGGGCTTGTCCATGAAAGCTCATATAATATTTGCTGTGTTACATCTCTTTCTCTTATGTCTAATGAAGTGGGCTTGTCCATGAAAGCTCACACTAAAAGATATAAAAGTTAAAGTACCACCACATTTTTGTCCTTACAAACGTTAAAGTACCACCACATTTTTGTCCTTACTTTTATTTTGTTTTCACCTATAATGTTCGCACAAACTAAGAAGGCTCCTTCTTCTACAACGGAACAGACTAAGAAGGCTCCTTCTTCTACAACGGAAGCTGTTTTATGTTTATTTCTTTACAAAAAGAGAGAGGCAAGTTTAATTATCTCTTTCAATCTGCTTTCATAACGGATTTCTCCTTCTGTTTCACGGGCTTGGCGCTTCAGTTCTGTTTGCTACTTAATGTGATTGCTTGCATGCATGCACAGACACATTAAAATCTATGGAAAAGTGGTACAAACTTTGTTTGGAAGAGGATTTGGCCGCAATGGCTCTCTGGATGCATGGTGCTCACATTTCCAAGCAGCTTAAACCAGGATACCTAACAGTGAAGACTTATGGGAACTGCAGTCCATAAAACAAACATCCAGAGGGTCACAACTGGCCACCCTGGTTTAAGATGACTGAGAAATCACTTTAATCACTGTCACCATCTTTAATAAAACATAGGGACCAAACATTTCATAGGCTTTTCCTGACCAGTTAAGGGCTATGTTATGCCGGCACTGCCACACACTTTCTCGCCATTATTGAACATTCGAGTATCTGTGCTTCCTGAGAGAGAATAAATCATCTGGCAGGCTGTAGCATTGGGTTGGGAGCACAGGTGAAGGGTGGAATAAAGAGCATTTTCTAAAGAGGCAGCTGGAGCCCCATAAGAGAGCGCACTTAGTGGTTGGAGCGGGAGAGGAATTATGAAAAAGAAAGCAACGGGAGGAAAGCAACGTTGACTATTCATAACACAGTGCCAGTTGCATTAGGCATAGACACTGGCCACTAAGAAGGTCTCTTCTATTTGCCGGGCAGCTGATGGGCACGAAAAACAGGTGAGCGAGGCTGAATGGGAGAGCGAGGCAACCAGTTACGGGAACCAATCCGAACTCCTGTATCAGTGATGGAGAGGTGGGGGGGGTTGAGAAGAGCGATTTCTGTATGGCAGATCGCTGTGTATTTGAGCTAATTCTCTGATTCAAGATAGCCAAGCATTAAAAAAAGGTCTTATTAAATCTCAAAACGACACCTGTTTTTTTTTTCTCTTTCATTATCAGCTCTTTCTTGCCTTTGCAAAAACGGAGAACACTCAGCATAATCTCAGGCAGGCTTCCCTCAGTACCCCGTTGCCAAGATTGTGACCATTTATGCTGTTTTTCAAGGACCGTCTGTCTCCAGGAGACTGGGGGGGGGGAGAGAAGAAATCATAATAGCCAAGGTAACAATGTGAACAGGCGTTAAAAGGCTAGGTTTCGTTCACAATTGCAGATGATAACCAAGGCTTCTTCTCTCTGGATTACTTTGGCATCATTAACAAATTAAGCTGGGAAGAAAGATGAGTATTAAGGACCCTGATATGTGTGAAAAAGGGACAGTGAGTGTGAGAGAAAGCAATTGAGAGAGAGAGAGAGAAAGAGAAAGAGGGAGAGAGGGAGAGGGAGAGGGAGGGAGAGAATAAAATAGCCTAGATAAAAATTCAAAATGCAGCATAATGTGTGATTCTCTGAAAGATTAGCTTAAAATCCTTTCAAAATGCTAGAACCCAATCTCCCTACAGATATTTTACTCAGGGCCTCAGAAAATACAGATTTAGAGAGGCCACAACGGCTGATATCCTGTTTGTTCCATAGCACCATGTAAGGCTGATGACATCATCAGCTCCCTACAGCTATTTTACTCAGGGCCCCAGAAAATACAGATTTAGAGAGGCCACAGTGGATGATATCCTGTTTGTTCCATAGCACCCTGTAAGGCTGATGACATCATCAGCTGGGACAATTTTTCAGAACTTTTAAAAAAACTCCCCTCCCCCTCCCAGGGTCCCGAGATTCCCATGGGATCCCTTTTGTCAGGAGGAAGCTATTGGCACTATTTTACTCAGGGCCCCAGAAAATACAGATTTAGAGAGGCCACAGTGGATGATATCCTGTTTGTTCCATAGCACCCTGTAAGGCTGATGACATCATCAGCTGGGACAATTTTTCAGAACTTTTAAAAAAACTCCCCTCCCCCTCCCAGGGTCCCGAGATTCCCATGGGATCCCTTTTGTCAGGAGGAAGCTATTGGCAAAAGGTTGATTTATGAAAATTTTTCACAAAAAAACTTACAAAGAGAAAGAAAGAGAAAAAAAAACAAGCATAAAACTTCTGTAATCCTGTCTTGGAAGAAAACATTTGCAATTTTGATTCACATGGGAAAGAATAAAATAAAATAAAAAGTAACTTTTGGGGTAGAATCTTTTTAAAATAAAAAGTAACTTTTTGGGCAAAAATACAAGTTTTTGAACAAAACTAA